GGCTAGCCTATAATTGAGATCTTATATCAGGAATAGTCGATTTTTGTTCCATAGTTTATTTGTAGTAAGCATAAATTAACAAAGAATTCGTTACCTATCCAACCAGAACAATAGTCCTCTGTCCGAATCTACAGCTATGGATACTGGAGTTACGACAGCAGTTGGAGTTTGATCATTCGAGAGTACAACTGCGCGATACTGTAGGGAAGTGGGAATTTATTTTTGAATATATTGTGCAGAGAAAAAAGTGACATACCTGTGTTCCAACAGTGCGAACCACTTCGATCGTTTGGGAGATTTTATTGCCAACATACAAATTACGGCCATTCCAATCGAATGCCATGCAGTATGGATCGTCAGGAATTTGCGAGGAATAGAGTTGAGTCTAAACAGCTTTGAGTAGGAATGTTCCTTCATTTTTCAAAGCAACAATTTGTATAAAATGAGACGGCATCATTTACATAAAAAATTACGAAGATGTTTCTGATGTAGATTTTCCAAAGTTTCATTGAAATTCTGCAAAAAAATTTCAATTTGCAAAAACACTTACTTTATTTCCGGCATTGATCGATGATTTATAGATGGCTGCATCGGTGGAGACTTGAGTAAGTGTACGAGCAATGTTAGTATGCTCCAAGACGAACAGCTGGAAAAAATGTATGTTAATTTTTTTATCAAATAATTTTCATGATCCAGTAAATTTTAGGTAAAAAATTGCAATAAGTGAAGTGATTAATCAAAGTAAGACAGCTCACATCTCCAGAATCAGCATCGTAACCAGCATCAAATGCATTGGATAATCCAGCCAATGGTACCATACCCGCCAATGACGGCGTGCTGTTTCCTCTGAAAAAGCGAAAAATCAGAGGGAATATTGCTAAAACTGAGCTGAAATTCTTTATATGGAGCTGAGAAGTTCAACAGGGAGAAATCGTTCAACTCAATGCAGGAATTCCAACAGGGAAACTTGTTAACTTTATGCAGGAAATAAGTATTTGTAGCACTTACATATTTCACCTACGCAAGAGCTTTTGTTAGTGGGAAGTTCTTACCTTTGAACCATCTCCACACCGAAAACGTTGTTTCTCTGGATGAGCAGCAGGAATGGCTTTTGATCGACCACGCAGGTTCTTCCTGATGCATCCAAACGCTTGCCCATAGGACATCCACAAGAGAAGCCCTAGATTGTTTGACAGGATAGAAATCACATGAAATTCAAACCTAAAAGGAGGCTCACCTTTGAGGAAAGTAAGCAAATATGGGAGCATGGACTGTTCTCACAAGGATTTTTCGATACATTGGGTTGGAGAATTGGGTGGACTGCAACCACGCCAAGCGCCTGAATATTATCTATTCATGCAGCTCAGGAGCAGGTAACCTTGAGTGTTCTTACCTTACTGAACGTATGACTAGGGTAATCTGCAGTGGTTCCATTCGCGT